AAGTCATTACGCCGTAACCATAAACAGTTCTCAAAAGTTACCATTCATAATTCCCGTCGGGATATAAGAGTTTCATCGCTAGTGATTAGTAACGAATGAAGGTACCTTGCTGAAGTATTATACCATTACCACCGTATAGTCTTAATTTGATGTTTTCCATTGTTTTGTTTCCAGTCAGTCATCCATCTACAGCGTAGGACCAGACACATAGATGTATCGGTCCAAGTTGCCATACCTCATTAGCACAAGATGAGCACTAAATTCATAGAAGCAGTTACTTCAATCTCACGGTTTAAGGGAACATAAATAGTCCACATACCTACTCTATTGTGACCGATTCTCAGCTATGCCACCCACAGTCTACAACCACCGGTTATAATAGTCGCGCTGACTCCAACCAAGTAATCTGCATCTACCAACATGGCTTACACCACAAGGTAGCGACTTTAGGGATCGATGCCACATTTTGGTTTTTCCGCCCCTAATTTTCTTCCATCCGTCTCCAAAACCGATCAGCATTGCAGGCCGTGGCAATTGGTGGTTGGGCATGTGTACACGTAGCTCAACCACCTCGGCCGATGAAGATTCACAACCTCATCAACCAACTTACCATCATTGAAGGATTTAATTTGTCCTACAGATATACTACTAGAACTGTAAACGCGGTACTGGCGATCCCAGAGTCTATGTGAAAGCTATAGTCAGAACAAGGACAACTTAGCTTTAAACTTTATCTGTTTCTAAGCGTAAAAGCAATTAGATTAATACAATAATTAAAGGAATTATAGTCATTAAGTGGAACGCACAAACACACCGATCAATATTGGATTTCTTATCGAAATGAATAAAAATTGAGTCACACTAATACAATAGGATGATAATGTCTGTCAATTGGCAGGTCACATGCAACTGAGATAGTCTACAGACAAATCAGACAAGATTGACGTGGTGGGTGCTTAAGCAAGGATTTGATTGGTTAGTTATGGACATAACTAGAAATCATTCCCTAATACCATGCATTCAACTTCATTATTGACCTATCCAGTGATTCGAACAGATGCAAGCAACACTTCTAATACATCTGTAGTCAAATACTGGTAACTGACGAGCATCCTCTACTCTTAATGGCCACATTTCGCAGTCTTAAAGTAAAACAAACCGAACTGCTGGGCAGTATACTCGTCCCTTAATTGGTAGACGGATATCTCGCTTTCGCATAAGTGACGTAAGTTGGCAAAAGACAGACGAGATTTTTGGGTTCGTGCAGATAATTTGTCAGACATCAACCCACTAGGACTAATCACACTTTCAAGATAAGCGAAGTTGTCGACCACTTCATTCCCTATCCTTAGTTCAGGTGTTGATGCAGGCCAGTCATTACCAAATAAAGGAGTTATTAGTTTCAAAACTGTGACTAAAATATAGGCTAACATTTTAGGCCATTGAGGTATGAAATTTTCCATTTTGTATTTTGATCCATGTTGCTATGTGTTCGGAGTAATCTTACCGGGTAGTTCATTCTGACATCGAATCAGTACGTGGAAAATGTATGTAAAGAATTGTATCTTCTGCTGAATAATAATTCCCTATAGATGTTGTCTTCTGATATTCCTCAACACATTGAGACATAAGTTACTGGAAAGAAGCAATTTTATTTGTGGTTGACTACTGTGTTGTTAGGAAGAATCCATTCTTATCGTTATGCTAAACTAATTATTCATATCATGATCCACGGAAGCTTTACAATGCACCTTTTTACTTCAGCATATCTATTACATCCACTGAAAATTACGTGTCTTTTCAAATATCCCAATTTCCAATACTACTAACTTTGTAAACACATACTAAAAATAAGCATTTCTAGTTCAATCGATTGAAAGCTGGAGCAATCCAACCTCACTTATTCACGAACGTAGATATTACATACGTAAATAAATTTAATGAAACCATTCCTGAGATTCATGATCACCTAGAATTAAATCGATCGATTGATCATGAAGCCTCGTATATTAAATTTTAAAACTGTTGATTGTTTCATTATACCTCGTATTTATAGAGAAAAGTAAATATGTATTTATAAGATTGGCAGATTTTTATCGAATCACACATCGTATGATAATAAGGAAGTATCAGAAGGGGTTTTACAGATATTATAGTAATTTTAATAGTTGAGATCATGAGTCATTCAAAGCTATATCACTATGAATGCACACTACTGAGGAGTTCTACAATAGGACGAAACGGCCATCCAGTGCTTTCAGGTTTTCCAAGGTGTACGAATTCATAATGTTTAACAGTTCATACTTATTTAATAACAGACAGGAGTGTTGATAATTTGATCACATATATTTCCATTCTGAATCACAACTGGTTACAGTTTTATAATTTTTAAACTGAGAACTAAATGTCGCACGTCCTAAAACCATAATGAAACAACAATGCTGTCATTTAATCATATTAAACGAGACAATAGAGCTGGATTGGATAGAAGTGAGGGCCTCAGTATCACACTTGGTCGAAGCTATAGTGCTGCTTTTAAAGTGATTGGAGTTCTAATGAATCTGATGGATTCATTTAATTGTTTTTGAACTACCGTTACCAGAACGTTGTTACGATAGATAGTCTAGTTTGTTCACCATTCGCGTTTCAAACGTTCAACTGACCCAATCAAAATAAAAGTATTTACAAACAGACACATTGACTCTGAAAGAGATATGTTAACATAGGCTAGATGAATGACTTACTTATTATAGCATACCTACAATTTTGTCTGACCTACTGTACGACCTTGAAAATCCGATTTGGTTTCGCCCGATATATTGTACCGACAAAAATGTGAAACAAAAGATATGGAAATAAATTTCAGTTTTACAGCGTGCGTGCTCTACACAACAAGTCAGATGACAGAATATTTGAGTCCATAAAATACTGACTGGGTGAACATAATCTTGCAAGTTCAAAAACATGGAAAGTTACAATCATCAAAAAGTTTATCTACGAATCCACAAGAATAACAGAAAAGATGTGCTGAGTGTCGTGAACTTCAGAGTGAGTACGTTATGTTTCTTGAGAATTCAGATTATCTTTTCTGATCTATAGGGATGAAACTATCCACCTACTTTGGACGAAATGTTGTGACGTCAAACAAGAGGATGGTACAATTACACTACATTTTAATAAGTATATATTCGTAAGAACGATAGAGAATAATTACGAAAGGATAACTTAAACTGAAGTAAACATGTCCAATGACTTCAATACAAGGTCTGTTTAAATCTAGTAAAAAGCACATCTAACGTATAATTCAGAGACCAAGTTATTTCGATTGCTAAGAATTAACTGTTAATCCCCCGACATCCAATAGTTCAAGGAGTTAGATGACACAGTACAAAGTCGATCTCAATTACTGATTTTGAATAAAACGTTATTCCTAGCTATCCATGTAGACTACCTGGTTGGGATCCGTGAAACGATAGCAACTGATAGTTAGAGACCTTGAATAACATGGCTCAAAATCGTTTGCAATGGCGCACGTGCATCCACTCTTTGTGTTCTCCTAAATTCTAATCTTCTGAATTCCTCATTGATATGACGGGAAGAAAAGTAAAAAAAATCGATTGGTTTACTCATTATGAGTTTTGGTTCAAGATTACTTCCGTTTTGATTCAATGTAATACTTGTTTTGTTTTCCCGGTATGATATTTTATTTTGTATAATATACGATATTCTTGTATTCCATTGATATGAACTATGCTCATATATGTGATTTGTTATAACTCTAAGTATTTTTCATAAATGTGGATTCATCCTAATTATTAATTAAGATGGGTGTACGATCAATATATAATTGAGTGTATTTTATACTAGAATAGTTTTCATCGTGTTTTGGTGTTAATAAAGCTTCACTTATGCCAGTCTTTGCGTTCTTACTTTCGAGTCGTGAGAATTGCAAAGGTCCCTCGTTCCGAGTATAAGTGTTTCCAACATAACAATTAGCGACGACCAGATATAACAAGTAGCATTCAACTGACAAGATATAACATTCATGTCCCTTATTTTTTCTCTTTTCAAATTGATCTCACTGGATTATACTCCTTGAATAACATCTTCAAACTCTAATCTTTCCGATTACTGCTTATACTCTTACTACCTCTACCACTATGGGATTTGAATCGACAATTGTACCTGTATGCTTATCTAGTATGGCAACTCAAACTGATGAATGTACGTACGAAGTTCTACATTGTTACTAACTGACTGACCTAGCTATCCATCCTTTCGTCTCATTTGTTTCATTGAAGTATATTCATTATCTTTAGATTTTCATTAAACTTAAAATTAACTCCCCTCCCTTACTTTATGTCTTACTAATTTTCTCAGTCACTGTGATAATAATGCGATGTGTAAACTTGAACCAATACATATTTGTGCTAGGTCTTATGATGATGTTAACCGATATTCACCTTATTACTTATTAATTGTCATCTCATCAGATTTGTGTGAGGGCTGTGATACTGCCCGGGTGCCCAAACCGAAACAGGTGGTTTCCTTGGGGGACCATACCCCGAGCCTTTGAATTAAAGGTCTAACCCACAAGACAGTGGATCATCGTGAGATGATGCAGTCACATGGTAGCCAGTCACCAACGATTGGTTAATACGCCATTTATTCTTTCAGGATACTAGAGCCCATGTGAACCGTTGGTTTGGAATCAGGGTTTCCCAACTCCTCTAGGTGTACTCACCGTGTCCACCGGCCTGGTTAAAGCGGCGGACATTCGCTTCTCGTCTTCTCAATTTCGTAAACAACAGTAATGCCGCGAGAAGGCAGTGATTAGGACTTCCCTGGTAGAGGCTGTGTACGCGTGGTCGTGTGTGAACACTTTGAGAACGAGAGAGGGCCCTCCCCACTCTCGGCCGTACCAGGGCATTTGAAGGCCTACTTATTTGGTAACGATAAACGTTCGAATGGTGAGAAGAAGCAAGGGAAAAGCGAGCGGAGGGGTGAAGAATTTATAAGAACTCTGTATAGAACAATGAAGAATTCTCAAATACATTAAGGATGTAAAAGTTATTCAAGTGTACAGGCTATTTATACATTAAAAAAATGATATAAAATAAAACGAATGTACAATAATAATAATAATAAAAACAACAACTATAGAGAATTACATCATCTATTATTGAAGTGAAGAAAATCAAAATATATAAAGATTTTCTTCAGTTAGGGGAATTGTTTTTTAATTGATATTCCATAGTTTCTTTAATGGCATCATTCATAGAATTTTCAATTTTACGAATTTTTGAAGATAATTGATACATTTTCATTGATAATGATTCTTTGTGTTCAATGGATGTAAATGAATTTTGTTTACGTACAGATTGTAAACAAGTTTCTATTTGATTTCTACGTAAATTATCTAATGATAAATTAATTGCATTTGAACGTGTCATACATGGTTCATCTAAAATAAACAACAACAACAAAATATTATCATATGTAAAAGAGAAACAAGTCAGTCAATATACAGAACTATTCCTCTTAGTTTGTGGTCTTGAGTGGTGTGAGGGCGGTTATCACTTTCCGGTTGCTAACACTGTGGAAGGGCTCGGTCTAGAGGTACTTGAAAAGAAAATTGGATTAGTAGTGGTCTTAGTGACCTGAGAGCGTGACCGCAGTGCCCAAAGGACAACTGCTTGAGGTCGGTCACACACGATCTTTATGTGGGTAATTTTTGTGTTAGCTCCGCACTTGTTGAGACCTTACCGCCGGAAACGAATATCCGTGGGATAAGGCGAGGTGTGTATTTTTAGGGTCGACCTTTTCTAACTCCATCCCTCCTTGTGGGAAGGCAGCATCGCTGTCATGCTGGTTGTCTGAAGGAAAGATTTTACTGCTGCCGCACCTCTGTACAGTCAGTAGTATGACTTCGCCTTCAGACCTTAGGTTTGTTGCTTTTAGTCTTACCGCTCTTCAACCGACCTGTCTGGCATGGTAGGAATTTGAGGAACGGTTGTTCCAGCCAGTATAGCTCGGTTGGTTCATCACGATAGGCAAGCCCGACCATCACATCACGGTAGCAACAACGGTCGAATCATCTTAGTTAATCTCTATAATTACAACAAGGAAACTTAGAATTATTTGATCACTTCTATTGGTGGTTGGGTATACGTAACGGGCCATGTGTCACAGCCATAAAGTAGGACGGAACAAACTGCTGCGCAGTAAACCCGTCATTTGGGTGGTAGATGGATATTTCGCCTACGCCATAAATGACGCAAGTTGGCAAAAGCTAGTCAAGCCTTCTGTATCCGTGCTGAGATTTCGTCACACACCAGACCACAAGGGCAGATGAGATTTTCAAGATAAGTGAAGCAGTCGACACGTTTTACTACTTTACTTTCTACCATTAGTTCAGGTGTCGATTCAACCTAATCCTGAAGCAACATTTTGCATTTCGAGAATGGGGAGAACCGCATGCCGAACATGCTTGCATTGTTGCTTACAGTAGTCAGAAGACTCTCAGTCAGTCAATCAGCTATAACATAGGACCAAGCACATATATGCATCGATCCAAGTTACCACACCTCACTCATTAGCACAGCAAGATGAACACCGAATTAATAGAAGTAGTGACTTCGATACTAGCAATATATAAAAGAAAGATTGTATATAAGAATATAGTACAGGAAGAAAGAATTAGTTTGTAGAAAGTAAAGTATAAAGTAATTTTAATCTCATGATTTGATGAAAGACAATGAGTATGAGCAATTCTGAACCATGTCACTCAGAGTTTCCAACCATTGGTTACGATAGTTATGTGGACCTCAACCAAGTAGTCTGTATCTATCATCTATCAGAAGAGTCTGCATGTTTTTATTTATTAATAAAAGATTATATATATTACACTTACCTAATTTTTTGAAGTGTTCAATTAACTGATTTACAATATTGTTTGATTTCATTTGATCAATTAACTTTGTTATAATACATGACAATTCAATTAATTTATTAAATTCTTCTCTATTATTATGATTATGATTACATAATCCATTATTCATAGTTAATAATAATTTTGATAAATTATTTAAACAATGATAAATTAAAACAAAAAATACATTTAAATTAGGCGCTAAATAAATTGGCGGTAAATATAATTTATTATTCTTCATTGATGATGATGAATAAATAATAGAATTGAATAATTGATTTTTTAATTGTATGAAATAATCTTTTTCAATGTTATGAAATAATGTCAATACCCAATTTTTAATTGATGAATTTAATTTTAATTGTTTGGATATAATTAACCAATTTTCAAGATAAATATTCCATTTAGTTGTTATGGTAACGTCATTAGTTTCTTGATTCATTATTTTATTCTCTTCATATAAATCAATGAATAATAAATGAAGAATATTTTCTGGTAGAATAAGTATATTCTGTAATAGATTCGTAAGAGTTTCATGAATAGGATTCAATTGATTCAATAAATAAGAGATTGTAGAATGATATTCATTAATTAAAGATTTTAATGACTGAAAATTAAAACAAAAAAGAAAAGAAAGTCAAAAAGTAAACAATTAAAATGTATAGAAGAAGAAATATAATAAATCATTATGAAGTTATGGAGAATTATCAGAAGGGGTTTGTGGAGATTTTAGAAATTTCACAGATTGAAATCATGAGTCAATTGAAGGTAGACCACCATGGAAAACCTGGACGGCCGTTTCGTCCTAGTATGGGACTCCTCAACAGTGCACATCCACGATCCCGCACCCCGCGAGATTCAAACCCAGGACCTATCAGTCTCGCGCCAAGCACCTAACCAACTAGACCACTGAGCCAGCATCCAATAGTGTTAATGTCTAACTTCAATGGAGAATTGTTAATTTTTGATTTGAGATCATCGAATTGATCTCATGCTAATTACTGGCTAAATAATGGTTTATAGGTTAGGGCAATCAAATGCTTTGGTAGGGAGAGACAAGTCTCCATCTCGAAATGCTTTCACATGGCCACGTGCATAAAATCACTGATATGGAACTCCTACTCACTGCCTTATAGCCGCATTATTGTTGTTTACGGAAGTCAGAGGACAAAAAGCGAATATCCGGCGATTTAACCGGGTCAGTGGGCACGGAGAGTTCATCTAGGGGAGTTGGAAAACTTTCATTCCAAATCAATGGTGCACATGAGCTCCAGTATCCCGAACCAATCGTTAGCCACCGAATACCATGGGACTGCATCTCCTGTCGTAGCTCCACTTCATTAGGGATCAGAACCTCAGATTGAAGGCTGCAGGTGTGATCCTCTAAGATAACCACCTGCTACGGTTTAGGCACCCGGACAGTATCCCAGCCCTCAGACAAATCAAATGATTTATGTGGCGCATCTCTATTCGATACCTCCTTATACCAATGTTTATGTGTTTAAATAAATAATATATCAATAGACTAGAGGTTAGAACTGAGCGCGCGCGAAGCCAAGGGTCCTGGGTTCGGATCATATGTGCGAGACCATGAATATCTACTAGGACGAAATGGCTGTCCAGTACTTTCAGGTTTTCAATGGTGGTCTAATATCGATTGATTTATAGTCTAAATCAATTATATTTATTGGTTGTGGCATTTTTATTTATAAGATATTAGTAGAATAGTGTTCTACAATAAGTTGTTGATTGATCAGTTAGTTTATTTAGATTAGAGTGATTAATCAATATACACTAAGCAGTGTAAGATAATCTGTTAATCTAATGATAGTGTTAAATGAACCTTCTTATTTTATGTCTCAATGGGTAAATTCTGTTTAAATAAACTTTTGTCACTAAATAAATGTTCATTCTTCTCATTCGTGTCAATATCAACAACATGACTGGAGATGGAATGGTGAAGCCCTAACAAGTTTAATATTGATTTTTCAAAGGGATGCTTCAAACTGGTTGAAAATAAACTGTTTTATTGAAGTATGTGGTATTCTAAAACAATTCATCATGAATTATACGAATATTCGTCAATATTAGAACGAATAGTTTCAAAAAAAATTAAGCACCGAGTATACAGAAGTCATTTCAACGATTGAAATTTAAATAATTCCAACGTTTCATCTAACAAAGGTGTCTCGACTTCTTCAGGGCAATAATCAATTATGATTTCAAGACATTACACCATAATGTACGTGAAAATCGTGTCCATTAAAAGAAAACTTTAAGGAAATTTGAAAATGAATCACGAACAACACGAAACTTATTTTCTTAGATTAATTCAGGGAAATATACATGGAGGTGAGTCGAAAGTTCTGATATTCCCGTGGACAGTTTTGGTTCCGTTTTGACGGGTAATTTTGATAACTGTGCACATTTTTGGCATTTCCTTCAATATCTTTGTTAATATTTGGACAGTAAATGTAAGCATCAGCTATCGACGTAGTAGTACGTTAAAAATAGCTGTCACCGTACTGTGAATAATTTGGAAATAATAGGAGTGGTGTCAAACTGTAAGAATAGGCAGTTGATATGACTGGAATGTTGTCGTAATAAGATTTCTTTTAGAAAAAAGAATAATTTCAGTAAGGCTAATTCCTTTTAGACAACAAATTATGTCAATTAGTCATTAAAGCTTCATATTTTTAAAACTCTTGATTACTGACATCTTTAAGAAGTTAGAAACAAATTTTCCGAAGCATCCAGGAAGATGACTAAAAAGCAATCAATCACAATAATCTTTCCACTCTTTGAGCATCCCCAAGTCTTGAACACTTTCGCATTACAGACGTATTTATTCTCTGTCCACTAGCACAATTTAACATAACCGTGAAACGTAACATTATCAAGCGGTTTGGAGATTGTTTTTTCTTAAAGACTGATATTCATTGCCCAACAATTTATTATTTAAAGAAACTTAAATAAACCATACGATTATTTATCTAGCAAGATATGAGGGCTGTTTCAATCGGAAGTGGACATAATAGTCAGACAGTTCAATATATGACCTAGTATGAGCGCCTATCAGTTAGAAATAACCATTTTTTAATACGAGATCTTACCTTTCCATAATGTTCAAATGGGTGACTATCAGAAAGAGCACACACTCTACGAAGGATACATAAACTAACATATTTTAAAGGGTTATTTTATCACAATCTGACCACAAATTTTTGCCTACTACATGTGACATTTTTTATAGTGATATTTCGAGAATATTATTTCCGTTTTTAACATTGTAAGGTATTTACCAACTCAGGCCAAAATTCTTTGGCTTCATTTTTTGAAGGTAGTACCTGCTTGGACATTACTACTTTAAACAACTATGTTGATTGGGACAGTAAGAGTCATAATAACAATTTATGATTGTTTCAATTAAATACATTACTATTATTTGAAACATTTCTTCGGCGCATCACAAAATCTCACATAGAATCAACAAAGTTACTGGCTGAACGTTTGAGGGCAGAAACTAATGCCTTTGATGAATTAGTCAACGATCTAAGTATCGTATGTCGCATAAAATTTATCAACTTTGTCCACGGTCTGCAAATCGAAATATGCAAGAACTTTGTCAAAGGAACACTTATACTTTGGTTTTCCGGAAAACCCAGAAAAATTTCTTTATAATCTATCAATAGTGAAGTTAAGTCAGAAGCTTTGCCGCTTGGATTTAAATTTCATATCCCAAAAATACATGCCGAAAGAATCGACACAGAAACTCAATTTGAGAATTTATTTGATCAAATTAAAGAAAGGCACCCAGTTAGTGAAGAGAAGAAAGGCTGGTTTAAATCTCAGCTAGTTGATATCGCAACCCAATATCTCATTTCAACCATACCGCAGTCCAAAGACCATCTGACAGTATTACGAAATATTCAGTGAAATGATGATATAATGATATTACGATCAGATTTCTGCACCAATCCTTGTTCTTGCTCTATTTAAGATAATAAAGGGAACTATTATGTGTATGAAATTTTTTAGTTTGTTTAGCTAAATCCATGGTATATGTAATAATTACATCACATGTAATCTACTTACTGGATCAACAAGCCCGTGCAACTTCCAACTTTTAGACAAATTACCCAATGGACGTAATAATGCTATATCAATATATTCATTTATTAAACTATACAGCTTTGTATACAAGATGGTAATTTCACTATTCAATAGAGATGATGATGATGATGATAACAAGGAATATTTTGCATTAGCATTATGTCCATTTTGAAATGTGTAATGATCATTATGATTGAAATGATTAATTTTTTTCATAAAACATTCTTCTATCCAATTAAGACCATGCTGTAAATTCACTGACCAAAATGGACTAGGTTGAAATTTTTTTTGTCCAAATGTAATAGGATTACATAAACGTACAAAATAGATATCATCGTCATAATTATTCTGTACATTTTCAAATGATGATGATGATAAACAAGGAATTTCTTGTAATGAATAAGTTACAACTAAAATCAATAAACGATTAATTATATCTTTATCATAGTTATTCATTATATCAGTTGAATACATGGACATTAATTGTTCTTTAGTGATTGAATGATCAAAGTAACCAATGATGATAATACCTGATAATTTATTGAATATTATTGATGAATTTGACCATTCATTTAATAGAATTATAGGTGGATGTTTTAATTTTTCAGTAATCCAATAAAAAATATTTGTAAAATGTTGTTGTATAATACTTGAACAATAATTAGTAGGTATCAACATAGATTTATATAATCCTAGTGGATATTTATAGAATATTGGGGATAGTTTCAAAGGAGACCAAGTAAGTTCATTATCTAACTAGAGAAAACAAGTAAATAATAAGAATATAAATGAACAAACAAATGAAAATATCAAATAAAATGTGCTTTTAATATTCATTTAATTATTAGCCAAAAACTTACTTACTTACTTATGCGTGTTACTCCCAATGGAGTATAGGCCGCCAACCAGCATTCTCCAACCCACTCTGTCCTGGGCCTTCTTTTCTAATTCCATCCAATTCTTGTTCATTTTTCTCATGTCTATTTCCATTTCTCGGCGTAATGTGTTCTTTGGTCTTCCTCTTTTCCTTTGACCTTGAGAATTCCAAGTGAGGGCTTGTCTTGTGACGCAGTTGGGTACTTTCCTCAATGTGTGTCCTATCCACTTCCAGCGCTTCTTCCTGTTTTCTTCCTCCGCTGGGATCTGGTTTGTTCTCTCTCACAGTATTAGCCAAAAACATGATGAATATTATGAGTCAGATTTAGACACCTCAGTCAGTCAACTATAACGTAGAATTAGGTACATATATGCATCGGTCGAAGTTTGCCATACCTCACTCATTTGCACAACAAGATGAACACCGGATTCATAATTCAATGGTGGTAATATATAAAAGAAAGATTGTATATGAGGACATAGTACAGGAAGAAAGAATTAGTTGGTAGAAAGAAAGATATAAAGCAATTTTAATCTCATAGTTTAGAGGAAGAAAAAGAGTGTATACACCTACGCCATTGTGATCGATTCTAAGCCATGTCACACAGAGTTTCCAACTATTGGTTAAGATAGTCACGCGGACCTCAACCAAGTAGTTTGCATCTACTAACATGGCTCAGACTAGAAGTTAGTGACTTCAAGTACTGATACCACATTTTAGTTTGGCCGACCCTAACTTTCTTCCAACCATCCCCAATAAAAAGGGGATAAAGAAACAAAGCACAAACTTACAATATTTCATGATCCACCTTAAGAAATACCACTACAGATGTATGATGTCTACTTGAAATACGAAACGAATATACACTTTTAATGTCTGACAATTAAAAATAGTGAACAGAGGAAGAATACATATAAGAACAAAGGATTGATATGAAACTTGTTTCAACGGGTTCATAACAATCATGATCACTAGCATTTGCAAAATATGAAGAACAACTTCAAATCTAATTCATACTTCAATGAAAAATCATACAGCAACTTAGTAAAATATGATAATCATACATTAAATACATCATTTGCAAATCTTCTTTGCGTTGTCCCTTACATACTTCACTATTCCTCTAATTCTGTTGTTGTTTCGATTGTTCTTAGATTTTCTTCCTATTCTCTTCATTTCAGTATCTTCCTGCTTCCAGGCATTCCCACTTCCGACTGATGCTACACACTACTTATATCCGTCAGCATAAGTAGCATACACCACAATACTGATTACTAATCCTTACTAATATTATACGAAGTATAAAAACATAAGACAAAAAATGAACTTTCAAAGTGACATAAGATATGTGAATAATATTGTATTCCTGTTCGATTATGTGATGTGAAATGATGGTACAATAACCAAGTAAAACGGCCTAATGGGTTACAATCAACACATTATATGAAGAGCAAAATAATAAAACATAATGGGTGTTGAATTGTTTGTAGTAGATGTCATAGTTTGGAAATGGATGAAATCCAAGTGGTAATATTTTTTTACATCAAACAACAAAATTCATGTAAATCACATATCGTAGATGAAATCGAAAATTAAGAATAAGAAAAATAGTGTAAATTAGTGTTCATGTACAAATTCATGGACTGTCATAGCGATTGCTTTAAGATTTCTTCTGACTTTGATGTAGATGATATCGTAATAAAGTATACGCTTTTGTAAACATTTATTTTATACGAAGTAAGACATTGGTGCTACATACATTAAGTCATAAAAGATTTTAAAATAAATGATGTGACATAATTTATTTTGAACTATGAAAAGATTTGTATACTAGAGAATTAAAACATTCGCTATGTAAAGACCGAATTAACTACATCGTCCACTAAATTTTCCATCATGACATATAGTTCGACATATTAGATTTTCATAATTTCAAACCAATTTTATGTACTTTGCATTTTCGATAAATGTAACTTTCAGTTTAGAACTCAAACTCCAAATGCCCTGGTACGGCCGAGGGTGGGGAGAGTTAGCTCTCCCTCTCGGAATGCTCTTACATGGCCACGTGCACACAATCACTGACAGGGAACTCCTACTCACTGCCTTCTCGCAACGGGGGCATTGTTTACGAAATTGAGAATATGAAAAGCGAATGTTTGACGCTCTAACCAGGTTGATGGACGTGGAGTGTCGATCTAGTGGAGTTGTAAAACCCTCATCTCAAATCAATGGTGTAGATGAGATCCAGTATCCTGGAGGAACAAATGCCGGCTACCATGGGACTGCATCTCGTGACGTTGCTCCACTACCTTGTGGATTAGACCTTTAGATTGAAGGTTCGGGGTGTGGCCCCGTAAGAAAACCACCTGCTTCGTTTTGGGTACTTGAGAAGTATCACAGCCCTCACACAAATCGAATGATTTATGTAGCGCATATCTATTTGGTACCCCCTTGTACCAATGTTTATGTGTTTAAATAAATAAATAAAGCAGTATAGATTTTGTAAATACATCTTAGTAATTGACGACAACAACAACAACAACAAGAAACCCAACTTACTTTTAGCATTTCCAATGAAATTCGTGAATAACTTGAATGTTTCAACAATTTGAAAGTAGATACATTTTCATTAGTATTCATTTGATTATTATTATTATTATTAATCATTAAGCATAATGGCAAACAATCACTACTAACTGATGTTGGCATTGTATTTAATAAAATTTCTTGTTCCATTAATTCATTACGTTTCCATATCAAATAATGAAAACGATTAAAGCAACATTTTAATAATGAATAATTATATAATGAAGTAGCAATGGATAAAGTTAAAGAAGACATTGCCAATTGATGTAATTGTTCATTGATTAATTGATTGAAATATTCATTCTGTTAGATAATGAAAAATTGAAAATGAAGAATTAGGAATACAAATAAACTAATTCGAGTATATTACAAGAAATCTTTCAGTTTAATCTTGTCTGGCATATTATATTCTTTCTATATACCTTTGCATTACAAAGGTTTAATAAATCCTTCCTTTGAGATACTGACAAACTTAACTAATTCAATATAACTCTCAACGATAGATTCCAAGCCTTACAAGATCCATTCAAAGAGGGATCTACTATAGAAAACAACTGGGAATGGATCATAGAAACACTAACTTCAACGTGTCAGGAGGTTCTGGACCGCAAGAAGCATCATCATAAGGAATGGATTTCTATCGAAACCTAAGGCAGGATTCAAGGAAGGAAGAACAAGAAGGCAGTAATTAACAATAGTAGAAAAAGAACATAGAAAGTCAAGGCACAAGCAAGCGAAGAAGAGAATTAGAGCTGACAAGTAGAAATATGTGAGAGAGATAGCAAAGACAGCGGGGAAAGCTGTGAGAGAAGGATATGAAACAACCATATGACACGATGAAGAAACTAGGAGGGAAATAAAGTAAACCAGAGCGACCGGTCAAGGACAAAGAAAGCAAGCCAATCACTGAAATTCAGTAATGTAGGAACAGATTGGTGGAACACTTCGAAGAACTCTTGAATAGACCATATCCATTCAATCCATCGGATATTGAAGCAACACACACATATCACCCTATAGCTGTTACCTCACCAACGATCGAAGAAATCAGCATGGCAATCAAACAAATCAAGTGTGGCAAGGCACCACGACCTGACAATATAACAGCTGAAGCACTCAAGGCAAACATAGAAGTAATTGTAAACATGATCCATGTTCTATTCAGGAAGATTTGGAAGAAAAAATGCCACCGACAGACTAGAAAGAATGGCACCTCATCAAGATACCAAAGAGAAGAGATCTGGGCAAATGTGAGGACTACAGAGGCATCATGCTACTATCGATACTAGGAAACGTTTTCAATAGTGTTGCTGAACCGGGCGAAAGATTCAGTAGACGTCCAACTATGCGAACAACAGACCGGAATCCGTAAGTGTCGGTCGAGCACAGACCAAATTGCAACACTACGGATCATCGTTGAACAATCAATTGAATGGAACTCGTCACTAAACATCAACTTCATTGACTGAGGTGTTCGACAGTGTGGATGGAAGAGTCTTACAGAACATTCTTCGACACTATGGTGTACCTAAGAAAACTGTCAACATCATGCAGAGTTCTGACGATGGACTACACTACAAATTCGTGGATGGAGGATAGCTGACAGACGCATCCCAAGTGAGGACCGGTTCCAAGCAACGGTTGATTATTCTCCCATTTCTCTTTCTTCTGGTGGTCTACTGGATTATGAAAACCTCCACATATCTGGCGAATCGTGTGATACAGCGCACAGCTTGCATGCGACTAGACGGTAAATATTGAAATTGCTAAAATCTCCACAAAACCCCTTCTGATAAAACAATAATGTTAGAAATTTAGTTATCTCACAATTTCTGTGTTTTAAAGGTTAAGGAAAGAGTTTTTTTAAAAATATAAATAAATAAACTTACATAATGATATTCTAAATCCAATTCACGATTAACTATACCACGTAAATCTAAGTCGATTGTTTCATTCGTTACATTTTCCATGATTTCTTTACATATTTGACGAACAGGATCTAATTTATTATTAAAAAGCTAATAAAATAAAATAAAAATGATCAAAATACTGAAATGAATTAGCCTTTTGAAACACAGGATATATCAAAGTAAAACTAAATCTTTAATAGTCACATAAATAGTAATCTATATGAGATGGTAGAGAAGATTTGTAGCTCAGGTGGATGATTTTGATGGAGTTTTGTTCTCTGAGCTGGATGGTTCGGTCGTGGAGTTTTTATCGTTCTTCTGGACGACATCATCAGCACAAACTTCAGATAGAAGTCTGAAGTTTGTGCTGATGATGTCGTCCAGAAGAACGATAAAAACTCCACGACCGAACCATCCAGCTCAGAGAACAAAAATCCATCAAAAGTAATCTATATTTTAACTTATTTGAAAACATAAACATCGTTACAAGCGGGCACTGAATACATAAGCGCCACACAAGTCACTGGATTTATGTGTGAACTGTGATACTGCATGGGTACCCAGACTGAAGCAGGTGGTTTTCTTAGAAAGCCACACTCAGAGCCTTCGACTTAAAGGTCAAATCCATAAGTCAGTGGAGCAACGTCAGGGAATTCAGTCCCATACTAACCGGTGACCAACAATAAGTTCACACGCCATTTGTTCCTTCATGATCCTGGAGCCCATGTACACAATTGGTTTGGGATAGGGGTTTTCCAACTTCCTTAGGTGGATCCCTTATATCCACCAACCCGGCTAGTCAGCCGGACATCCGCTTTCCCTTGTCTCAATTTCGTAAACAACAGGAATGCCACAAGAAGCCAGTGAGGACTTCCCTGGCAGTATATATATATACATCCAGATATTACTTAGAGTAAAACAATTCGGAGACAGTTATCTGGAAACACTTCAATTAACTGGTTGAAAAGTGACTGTGATTTATATTACCAACACAACTGATTTTTATACGATATTCAGGCCAATACTTTAAGCATACTCCATATAAAACGTACATAAACGAATTGGGAACATTTGACAGTATTAGCAAGTTGATATGGTCATTTAACAATGAATCACTAATGAAATTGCTATAGAGGAACGATTATTGAGGTAGCTTTTAGGAACTATTTTACAAATTATTAATATGAATATTTTCATAATATAATTATCATCTAACTGGTTTGTTATGTTTCTACATTCCTCTTGTTTGAAAATCCCATTGGATTCACTAACCATTGTTATACTATATACAATTCTTTAACTGTCGCTAACTAATTTATCACTTTTTCCATTTTTTTTTCACTTATGTCCTGATTGTATACAAATTGTGATATCTTATTTGAGGTGCATCGCAGCCTGAAAATTCACTTGTAGAAACATATATGTACTTGAAATATGACGATGTAAAGTTTGCTTGTGTTATGTTTTATTGTTAAACTGAATATTAGGATAGAATAAAAGGTGTTTTTGATTCGACAGTCCTCTTATGTTATCTCATAATTACCCCCGAACGCCCTGGTACGGCTGAGGGTGGGGAGAGTTAGCTACCTCTCGAAGTGCTCTCACATGGTCATGCATACACAACCACTGCCAGAAAAGTCCTACTCACTGCCTTCTCGCGGCATTACTGTTGCTTAAGAAATTCAGAGGATAGAAAGCGAATCTCCGGCTGATTAACCGAGTTGGTGGATATGGAGGATCCATCTAGGGGAGTTGGAAAACCTTGCTTGCGAACCAATGGTGCACATGGACTGACTCCAGTATCTGGAAGGAACAAATGGCGTGTGAACCAACTATTGGTGACCGACTACCATGGGACTGCATCTCCTGACGTTGCTCCATCGCCCTGTGGATCAGACCTTTAAGTCGAAGGCTCAGGTTGTGGCCCTCTGAGAAAACTACCTGCTTCGGTTTCGGCATCCGAGTAGTATCACAGCTCATACACAAGTCACTTGACTTGTGTAGTGCATATGTATTCGGTGCCCCTTTTTACCAATAATTATGTCTTCAAATAAATACAAATAAATAATGATTGCTTAATACCAGCCGTTGTTGATCGAAGCGCGTAATTAGTCAAAGTTAAGGATGATGGATTGTAGACTAAAAAAGCATATTTGGAGAGCAGATAATTATGATCTGAATTTTGATTGATGAACCATATCTAACAATCTATTAAGAAATATATAAGAAAACTCTAGGATTACAACAGAAACGCACATTGACTAAAATATTTTGTAACAGATTTGTGGAATAGGATGGGACAAGATTAGATATAAAAGGATGTATTGATGAATATGTTCTATAGCAGTAAAATATAGGGAGTTTATAATGATGTGTAACAATTCATCGTAGTGGTAAATGCTGGTACGAATAGACTAGCAATTTAATACGTCACAGTAAATACATTCATTTCGTAGTGGGATAGAAAGTGAAAATCTATAAGGTTTTCAGTTCCAATAAAATAACTGGTACTATGTGAATATATCTTTTGTGAACATTAAATTACTTAAGTACACTTCTCAATGATTCTAGAAAAAAAGGAAACAATTGATGATAATCAAAATAAAAGAAAACATGAACAAAACATACATCAATTAGATGATCTTCAATAAAATCTTTAATTAACTTCTCGATTAATTCACTAATTATTATCTCTTCAAGTAGAATAGTTTGAGCAAATTTTGAATAGCATAGAACTTCATCAACACATTCATTATATATAAATTCTAATAATTCATCAAATATTTGTTTTTTGCTAGATGTATTGCTTTCAGTTAACGATGAATTGGTTGTTGATAATGATGAAGAATTTGTTATAGGCTGTTGATACATATATGAAGTGATCCAATTATTATTACAAACATTATTGTCAGCAATACGATTACTATAATCAAGTGTATCACTATCATTTTGAGTAGGTTTTCTTTGTGAGCAAATATATTTACCGTTTGTATCAAACGAAGACTGAACAGGAGATGGTATTGCATCTGAAGGATTAACAGGAGAACCATTGAATAAAACAGACAATGGGATACCAATACGCTTATTCTCAACTAGCTAGAAAATTGTATTAAATAGGATAAAAGAATAAATAAATAGGGATCAATTTATTCGTATTTCTTTACTGAATGTATAATCAATGTACTTTTAGTAAAACGTTCTAGACGTTACTCTATACATCCATTTTACAAGTGAATAGCTTTATATACACGTTTGTGTACCAAGTATGCGATTTATGAAAGTTATCTGAATGGTTTATAACGTGATAAAACACCTCAAGTAATCAAATTACACAAATACTTTATGTTAAACATGTAAACTGAACCGTTGAAGTGTATTTATCTGAGTTCATTGAGAATATTCTGCCAATGATTAGACTTTGTGAATAACTTAATCGAGAGGATAGGAAAGAATTATAACTTAGATGGAGTTCCTTCGTTTGAGATTGGTGGTTTAATCATAAATTTTTCGTAGTCCTTCTGGGTAATATCGACAGCATAAATTTAAAATAGAAGTAAGCTATTCAAATTTCTGCATCATAATTGACAGTCTATTCTATCAAGCTTGATTGGTTATTGTTGTTGTTAACCTTTCTCTTGTAATTATTTGGATGGTCAACCTCTTTGACCTAATTACTGATTAATAAATTGGATTGATTTCCATATGTTTATTAATTGCTAATTGGCTTGTATGTTAAGCTTCTAAAAATCCACTGACTATTTTAATATTCTCTTTAAGATTCTAACATTTTCCCAGTCGAACGTTTCTCCTTTTTTTGACTGTGTGCGAAGACACATCGTGGTCTTTGATAGTTAGTTAATATCTATGAATTTGGAAATGAAAACTGTGGATACTTTGTTCAATGTAGTGTTACGCGTAGATGGAGGGATTGATTTTGTAGATAATTTTTGGACTTTCTTTTGTAATTTAATCATTTGGTTTGCATAAGTTTGATTGAAGTGATTTTGGTGGTTTACGGGCTAAGGCTATTTTCAAACGGCTCCAATAATCTTATCCCAATTTCTGATGTCCTTTATAATATGGTAGGATGATCCGTTTGTTCGTTTCCGAATTTGCTTTAGATCTTGTTGACAAGTTTGGTAAACACTTTTCTTAATGACATTGACATTTTTTTGAAGAACATTAAGTATTTTCAGTTTTTCGTGTTTTAGGTGTGCCACAATAAGTCTTCATTCTTCTGAATGAGATTTGAACGCGAGTAATTTTAGTTGTTGGGATTAAAAGCGTCATTGATGACACAAAATCCATAATTTAAATAAGTTTTAATTAATTATTATAAAACTAACTTATTCACTAAGTTCTCAGGTAAAAGCCAGACTCTAATTGTGCGAGCTAATGACATTACGCGGCTGCCCAAACCAAAGCAGACCAGGGTCTGAACTTGGGACTTAGTGGTCGAATGTCGAACTTAGGACAGGACAACGGTCAACAACGACCGATCAAGATCAGGGCTGATAGAACAGGCTGTCAGTTGTGCAACGACTGGTCCACATAACGAGGCGGAATTCCGCAAGGAATTCCAACACCTACCTTAACTACTTCCTTATGTACGGTGAAACTAAGGCGTTATCGAAAGCAGGTCTGATGTAACGTTTTGTGTTCGGGGGGAGAGAAACATGTCCCGAACATCAACGGATCACTAATCAAGGAGTTTAGATGACTACTTTTTAATGTCCTGCCCCAAACATAATCATATAATTTGAGCATAACAATTGAATAAGTGAATATCCGAGTACGTGACCAGCTACTGTAAGATGTCATCCATAATGACATAAAATCAAAACAGGTAGTGTAACTATTGTTAAAACTAGTGTATTGAACAGGGAATAAGGTACATTGATGCTTCTGTGGAGGACACATGTTATTTTTTAGGTTGACCTTTTTTAACCCTACTTTTCGTTGTGGAAGATCAGTATCACTAGAGACAATGGTGGTTATTGGTGAGAAAATGCCTCCACAAACCAGAACAGTCAACGATACGCCTTCACCCTTAGATCTTACATTCACTGTTCTTAATCTTACCAGCTTTCAAACTAAACTACCTAGAATGATTGGACCTCAAGAAGTAAATATTTCAGTCAATATTGCTCAACACAACAGTTATGATACCTTGACAACTACATTAAGGTAGGAGCTGTCTCACAAATAATAAATTCAATCCTAAAACAATTTAAAAATATTATACCACGGAGTTGAATGTGGTTAGATCAATGATTACTTGTAATTATGTTGGCTAAAAATAAAATCTAACTACTAAACGCAATACGGGAAAACGAATATCAAGAAAAATCAATATATAGTGCACAACAAATAGAAAGAGAAATATACGATAAAATTAATTAGAAATAGCGCGTACGTGAAATGATCTCTGTTCTCTCCATGGTAACGTAGGTGGTTGAGGTTGAATTTGTTTTTCAAATATCACATTTGAACCAAACACTGATAAACCCCATGTTTCACAGAAATGTTTAGATTCTGTTTCATTTTCAAAACCGAGTTGTTGTGTCAGAGTAGAAATAGGATACTGTTTAAGAAAATTTAAGATAAACAGTGGGGAAAAAGTGATGATTGTAGCGAAAAAAATGTTAAACAAGCTAACTTGATGCTAATTATGCGACAACAAACAAGGTTTGTATACCATTTGTGGTTTACTATATAAGAAATAATTAAGGTTAAATCTGAATCCATGGTGGTCTAGCTTCAAATGACTCATGATCTTAACTATTAAAATTACTATAATATCCACAAAACCCCTTCTGATATAAATATCAGTAGTCCTTTAAACGCAAGATCACGAGTTCGAAACCAAATTAACATAGATGTGAGGGAGTGGATATTCTCAACAAAATTCTCATGAAAATGTTATCCATAGACAAGTACGAAGAATACGACAATGTAATACATTTTTGAATAAAAAGAAACAATTTCTGCATAGATTACATATTAAGTCATATCAATTTTGTGCACTGCGTCTTCGGTCATGTTAAATAAAGGACTATTAACCAAACAAAACAGTTGTTCAAACCTAAAGAAGTAGAAAATAAACAACTACGATCAGATCCATATTCTCGTCTATAAATCACAATACACGGAAGCTACTTATACAGTAGGCAAGACTGGGCTTCAGAAGGTTGAATAGGATTAGGCATTATAATCTACTAGTTGGAGGTTGAGTCACTGAATGCACAGGTCAAAACTCCCTTGTTTTAAACTATAATATATATGTATCAGACTGAGATTTGAAACTGCAACACGATGACCATGAACTGAATACTTATGTATTTATTTATTTAAACACATAGATATTGATACAAGGAAGCACCATATATATATGGGCCACATAAATCATTCGATTTGTGTGAGGGTTGGGATACTACCCGGGTGCCCAAACTGAAGCAGGGAATACTTATGTGACTGATTGGAAAACAACTTCAGAAGTAAGTGAATTAATAATTTGATCTAATTCCCACAAGTTCATCGTATAGAATTCCATTAACTGTAACTAACACTTTGAAGAATGATTGTAGTACACGAATAGGAAGACAATGTAATTTAAGAGTTTGATTTCAATAAGATTAGAAAATCAACAGAATAACCGAAGAAACAATACTCACATGTACTTCTCGTTTTGGATGTCCAGCAAATGCACAAGACAGTTTCGTTAAAGCTTGACTACGTATTTGTACAAAATATCTATGCATAAGACAAGCAACTAAACATGTAGCTTGACGAGCTAAACGGAAAAATCTGATATAATTGTTTGTTATGAGAGCTTCATGTGTAGCAAATGCAAATCGTACAGGTTTAGATTGACGTAGTCGTTCAGGTAAACGTTGAGCTTCACTAAAATAAAATAATAAAAAAAACACCAAAGGTAAAAATGTGCTTAATAAACCAAAGTCATACAGGAAGAATTAACTAAGTGAAAGAAACAAGTCACTATCCGGTATTTTTAAAGAGCCCATTAAAAAATCACTGAATCAAGGTGATTGAAACAATTATGAAACAAGGCAACCTTTAACCAAGAAAAATTAGCATCTCAACAAAGAAAAATGTCCTTAGATAAAGCCATATATAACATACAATCCCATCTATAAGTACTACCTGATTTCTGCAGACTAATAAAAGGCAGATTGATCAAGTATCGTCACAAATGCATTAGAAAATCGAACGTACAGTTTCTTCAAGATTATCCACTAACATACTCAAAGATGAAGTTTTATTTATTTGAAGAAATAAATATTGATAAAAAGGGGCACCGAACACATATGCACTACACAAGTCAAGTGACTTGTGTATGAGCTATGATACTACTCGGATGCCGAAACCGAAGCAGGTGGTCTTCTTAGAGGGCCACAACCTGAGCCTTCGACTTAAAGGTCTGATCCACAGGGCGATGGAGCAACGTCAGGAGATGCAGTCCCATGGTAGTCGGTCACCAATAGTTGGTTCACACGCCATTTGTTCCTTCCAGATACTGGAGCCAGTCCATGTGCACCATTGGTTCGCAAGCAAGGTTTTCCAACTCCCCTAGATGGATCCTCCATATCCACCAACTCGGTTAATCAGCCGGAGATTCGCTTTCTATCCTCTGAATTTCTTAAGCAACAGTAATGCCGCGAGAAGGCAGTGAGTAGGACTTTTCTGGCAGTGGTTGTGTATGCATGACCATGTGAGAGCACTTCGAGAGGTAGCTAACTCTCCCCACCCTCAGCCGTACCAGGGCATTTCGGGCACTCAATGATGATGACGATAATATGAAAATTAATGACTAAATAAAATGGATGAGAGGTAGTCATTCATCTTAGAAAAAATTAAAGAAAAGGGAAGAAATTAACAAAATGATAACGTCTATAGTTCAATAAAGCAATTTAGAAACTATGATGAAGAAAAGAGAAATTCAATATATTACTTTAAAACAAATTTCCGATTTAAATTGGTAAATAGCTTATGTCTCTGTTGTGAGCAAGTTACGAATTCACAACCACTATAATCCATTTTATCTAAAGGCATACATAGATAGATAAATCTTTTATTTTAATCCATCGACGAGATATTCAGCGATCTAGATGATTATTGTTTTACTAACTTTTCTTGGAAAACGCATTAAAATCGCCATTAAGAAAAGTAGGTTGTGTGAGACTGATATATAACCGACTTGCTCCATAGAATCAATTATACTGATAAACAGAAACACATACGGAGGTTTTTCAAAGTGACAAGTTGTCCCGAACATATCCATGAAGTAAATACCAGCGAGATTAAAGAACATGTTTCATCAGCTTTAATAAATGATAGTACTGAAAGGAAATTTTAGGGCTAAATCTTTGACGATAGATACGGTTGAAATGAAGAGATCAACTTCTGTTTTCGTATGAGATACTAGCGTGGTAATGCTGAAAATGGCTATCAATTCAGTCTGATAGTGATGATTATTAGTGGAATTAAAGATTGGAGTTTCGTTATTCTTAGTATTTCCCAGTTAGATACACCAACATTTAAGTGAAGTAGTAAGAAAAAAACAAAGGGGGGTATAACCCACCGCCAAACAACATATGTAGATTGTATTATAGACGCATGCTCATTGACTAACAAATCCCCTATTCTTTTCACGACTTTTAAAACCTCTTAAATACAGAAACTGTACTCACTTGATCTCGTTTTGGTCGTTCAGTTTCATTAAAAGCATATAACTTCGGAATTCTGCTTCATTAGGACACATATTTTCAGAAGTAATTGGTGAATCTAAATCACTGTACATCTCCTTTAATGTTTGCAGACACTGAGTTAAATTTTCTGAATTAATGCGAGGATCAAAAGTATCCACTGGTTGATCAACTAATCGTGCAGCACAGAAAATATGAAATCTTGCTATCCGTTCAATAACACCAATAACAATGGGACAACATAAGTTTTGCTGCCGTATATCTTTGCGAATAGCTCGTGTACGTGTCCACATAAATTCATACCAAGGTTTCCATAGGCTACGACTGGTATCAATTTCTGGGCGATCAGCTATACTAGCTAGTAAATAAGCCATTGTACGTTGCAAAACACATGTCGGTCGTAGTTCTCGGGGTAATGGTACAGGTTGATCGGCTGAAGAACGTTGATAATCTTTCACAGCCCGAGTATGATCCATCTCCCAAGAAGATGAATTAACACTCATTGTAGTAGGTAAACACTCAAATATCTTTAAGTGAAAAAATTATGAAAATTTATGAAACACTTGACGAAAAAATGTTAACAGTAGTACAAAAAATGTGATGAGAATTCTATATTGTACTAAACATATAAAATTGAATTTATCTATTCATTTATTTATTTGAACACATAAATATTGGTATAAAGGGGCACCGAATACATATGCGCCATACGAGTCACTTGATTTGTGTGGGCTATGATACTGCCCGGGTGCCCAAACCAAAGCAGGTGATTTTCTTATGGGACCGCACCCGAAGCCTTTGACCTAAAGGTCTAATCCACAAGGCAGGTTAGGAGATGCAGTCCCATGGTAGTCGGTCACCAATAGTTGGTTCACACGCCATTTGTTCCTTCCAGATACTGGAGCCAGTCCATGTGCACCATTGGTTCGCAAGCAAGGTTTTCCAACTCCCCTAGATGGATCCTCCATATCCACCAACTCGGTTAATCAGCCGGAGATTCGCTTTCTATCCTCTGAATTTCTTAAGCAACAGTAATGCCGCGAGAAGGCAGTGAGTAGGACTTTTCTGGCAGTGGTTGTGTACGCATGGTCATGTGAGAGCACTTCGAGAGGTAGCTACTTCTTCCCACCCTGAGCCGTACCAGAGCATTTGGGGACAATATTGAACGAAGTCATTAATAATTATATTCACTATAAATACATCTAATAATATTATTTCGTTTAGATAACATGCACAGAAAACTATTGTTGATTAAATTATATAAGTAATTTTAGTGTATTTCCCATTTATAACACAAAATGTTGCCTGATACTACAGGGTACCGAGAATGCATCACGCAAACGAAATGAAGTTATTAGATAGAAAAAAACTGTTAAAAAGAAACACGCAAACAAACAATAAAAGGTGTAATGAGTATAGATTTCATTCACTTCAAAAGTACTCTATACGATTTGTGAGGAATGTAAGAAAACTATGAAAGGATCGTCAGTGGCTCCTATCTTGGACTATATCTGATATCTTGAGCTACCGAATGACACAATCATAAGAATCTCACTCGGAGAAGTGATGTGCGAGGAGTTAGTCCATCAAGCCACGTTGCCCCTCCGTTTTAGATTGTTTGAAGCCTTTTTCAACCTCACTAGGAGTTGGAGGACTTACATCAGTTCGCCATTCAGGTTGGTTGGAGATGGTGGATAAATTAGGTGTGTCTGAAGTTCAGTTGAACTGTTCTGTAAAATGGTTTGCTCATCTGTTGAATCTCCTGGATTGAGAATAAATAATAGTTCCGTCTTTTTCAGAAATAGTCTCACTAAGAGCCAGATTTTTAATATCTGTTTTCTAGATAAATCTGAACAGTTACTTGCTGTTACCTATTCCCGCTACCTTTGCGTCTCTGATGCTTTCACTGCCCATCACTACTCACAATCATTGCGTAAGCTTTTTACTAGTCTACGTTTAGACTGCTTTTGGCCCTAGTCATGTTGGGAGCCACAGGGGATGAGACTTCAAGCATCTATCAACTGAATAAACACTTGTTGTGAACGGGGAAATAAGAAGCCCAGACAACTACGAAAGCTATTTTCTTGGGACGTTATTTCATTTCATTCAACCCTTGTAAAACACTTATATTGATTTTTGTCCCTATTTTATTCTACATAACATGAGCTTTCGTTCTATATAACATTCACTGCCATACCTTTTTTTGTTCCGAAAATATTGTAATTTAAACATAATATTTTGCATCTTATTTTCTACCCTAATTCCCAGTTTCGGGCATAATTGTATTTTTCCGAATTATCGTACGTTGTGGTCAGTATATTCACTTATTTATTCATGTACATTTTTGCACTAATCCGAATTTAGAGAATTCAGAGTGTCCCAACTGTCTTGTCTTCTCTCACTTGCGTGCTTGCCAACCAGTCAGGTTCTAGAATAGTTCTCTCTCTCACGCGTGCTAGACTCAAGGTTAAGCCGCTCAGCATATCGCTCCAAGGTCATAATCTAGACTAGACAGATCAAGGTCAAGTCATAACAAAGTATCGACGGGGTAAAAGGGATTCAAGGTCATGACAACACTACTGAAATCTATTGATGTTTCTCCAGCTGCCTGGATATTATGCTAATCCATATTGAGATAAGTGTCACATTAGAGGTTGACTAACTGCTTTCCTCTGTACTTCATAGTAAAGCTGAACTATTCGGGGTCTTCTTGATCTAGATTTTCTGGGTCTAGTATGACGCAAACAAACACGTTCTCTTACTGGAGCAGGATCAGAGTCTAGGCATGTGCCACAGAATGAGCAGCAGTCTCCTATTGAGCCTCTCCAACGATCACTAATCACAGTATGGTCCTGATTGAGGCTATCGTTGAGTTAATTCTACTGGTCGCCATGTCGGACGATGTCTCTCCTTATGCTTAAAATTGATACTTTTTAGGAATAAACGGTTATCTGGACAGATGCTCGTCGTCATCTGTTCGTTGAGCTGGGACACAGTAAGGTCCATCTAAATGTCTTTTATTTCACTTCAAACTACCTACTTGGGTGATAAAATCACTGCTACAATTACGTCTAAGTGTTTGATTTCTTGTAGAAGAGAGTATTTTCTAAAACTTTATCCGAACTCATATCAGTGCGAACGTGGGCAGAGACAACCAAGAGGTAACGTTGTATGTCTATTTCTTTCCGTGTTCTTACATCCCCATTTAATGAAACAGCGCATAAGTGAAAACCTATTGGAATCCAATCTGCGACAGCTTGTACTTCCTTTGAACTTAGTGCTAGACCTACGCATTAAGTGAGACTATCTCGGAAAAAGACGACAGTCTCATCTGCTCCCAGTCCAGACGTTTAGAACGATGGACGGAACATTTCAGAGAACAGTTCAGCTGGCCTTCAGCTACTCTACAACTACCCTCCATTCCCAGACAGTGTGAATGGAACATTGAAGCAGGTCCCCCAACCCTTGCTGGAGTTCAAAAGGCTATAGTTAATCTGAAACGAGGAAGGGCAGCTGGTCCAGATGGATTGGCTCCAGAGGTCTTTAAGGATGGTGGTCCGATTTTAGCGATTAGGTTGACTAATATTTTAGCTAAAATCTGTGAGTTAGACGTTATTCCATCTGACTGGTCACAATCACTTATCGTCCCAATATATAAGAGAGGGTCAAAATCATCCTGTGACAACCATAGAAGGATTAGTTTGACTAATATAGTATCTAAAATACTAGCCTCGATAATTATCAGACGCCTAACTAAGACTTGTGAACTGTAAACACGAGCGAATCAGGCTGACTTCAGACCTAGTCGTGGATGCATCGACCACATATTCACCATTCGTCAGATTCTAGAACACAGGCATACTTATCGGCGTCCGGCAATGGTGGTCTTTCTTGACTTAAAAGCAGCATTTGACTCCGTTGACCGCGAGATTCTGTGGCAGTGTCTGTCATTGAAAGGCGTACCCCAGAAGTACATAAACCTTGTGAAGGCTCTTTACTCGAACACTACTAGTCGAGTCAGAGCTTATGGCGGACTTCCATCTGCTTTTGCAACCTCAAGTGGTGTCCGTCAAGGCTGTCCATTATCTCAATTTTTGTTCAGTTTCATCATAGACCTACTACAGGAAATAACGTTCTCGTCGACCGAATTCTCGGGCATTGATCTCTCTCCAGGAGGTTCACGTATCGACTTAGAATACGCAAATGACATAGTCCTGTTTGATGAAAACGCTGATAAAATGCAGAGTATTCTGGTAACACTAAGCAACAATGCCAGAATGCTTGGGATGCGTTTCTCCCCCTCCAAATGCAAGTTGTTGCTTCAGGACTGGTTTGTGTCAACACCTGAACTAAGGATAGGGAGTGAAGTAGTCAAACACGTCGACAACTTCACTTATCTTGGAATTATGATCAGCCCTAATGGGTTATTGTCTAACGAAATATCAGCACGGATTCAGAAAGCGCATTTGGCTTTTGTCACCTATGGCGAGGGCGAGATATCCGTCTATCAATTAAGGGAGGAGTATACTGCGCGGCAGTTCGTTCTGTTCTACTTTACGGCTGCGAAACGTGGTCATTAAGAGTAGAAGATACTCGTAATTTACTAGTATTTGATTACAGATGCCCTAGAAATATTGCTCGCATCTGCTGGGATCACCGGGTAAGTAATGGTGTGGTGAGGCGTAGGGTATTAGGGAATGATGGTAAATCAGTCGCTGAGGCTGTGAATCTTCATCAACTGAAATGGATGGGCTACATGTTGTATATGCCTGAACACTGATTACCACGACACGCAATGCTGAATAGTGTTGGGGATGGTTGGAAGGAAGTTAGTGGCGACCAGTCATGTTGGTAGATGCAGACTACTTGCTTGTAGTACGTGTGACTATCGTAACCAATGGTTGTAGACTGTGAATGACATGGCTCAGAATCGATCACAATGGCGTAGGTGTATAAACTCTATGTATTCCCTTAGACCGTGAGATTGAAATGAATTTATACCTTTCTTTCTACGAACTAATTCTTTCTTCCTGTACTATATCATTGTATGTAATCTTTCTTTTACATATTACCACCACTGACTTAACTACTCCGATGAATCCGGTTTTCACTTTGTCGTGCTAATGCTGTATGGCAACTTGGGCCGATGCATATATGTGCCTGGTCCTACGTTTTAGCTGACTAACTAACTGACTACACCTATTCCAAAGAGGCCACGAGAAAATGGGAGTCGTCTCCAGGTACATGAAGGGTAAACCATAATGCCCCTCCATATTGACTAGCTGAGGCCCGATAGATGACCATACTTGGATCCTGTATATATGTTTCCGAGACAGAATAAATCGATGGCACGCGGTTCTAAAGTCCTAGCTAAGGAAGCCTCTTGGCCTACTGGATATAACGTCTGAGCACTGGAATTCTCAAGATGTAGTTTAAGAGAGGTTTCAAGAGACTCGAATAGTCAGCATTAGTGATACACGAGGATAAAGTCATAGGAGAAAGGTTGATGGTGAAGATGAAAGAAACATCAAGAAGTGATTTGATCATACACAGGAGGATCTCCAGTGCTGTTAGGGATATCAGGATAGTTATCACTTACCACTCAGTTGCCCATACTGTGGAAGTATGATCCTTCTAAGGGATCAGTAGTGGTCATATGAACCTAAGAAAACAAGTGTTCTAGCCAATATAACTCATCACGATAGGCAAGCTCGACCACCATGTTAAGGTAGCAGCTATGATCTGGTTTAAATTGAAAAGAAAGTAGAAGGCACTGGTAGCCCCATTTCAATACTGAAGTACAGCTAATTAACTGCATACAGAATCATGTACTACGTCTTGAGCTAGATTTATAGTACGGTGATTACAGAAACTAATTGTACAGATTAAATATGAAGCAAGGTTTCATATGAAAGTTGTGCCCAAACTAATGATAAATACACTTTGGATAAAGTTCATACTACGAAAGTATTAAAAAAACATACAGATACACGTTGATGAGCTGCTCGACAATAACGTTCCAATTCAGGACACATATCTTCACATGTGCCTTTAATGGGTGCATGACGAATCGGTTCACCAGTGTTGCTGTTGCATATATCCGAACATTGAATTTTTGGATCAGCAGATTTGGATATAGACCTCAGTTCACAATCACGTTTATAATATTCTTGTAATACAGACAGCCGTTCATCTAGTGTAGTAGCACTTGGAGATTTCTGAATGAATAGACTATTATTATAGGCGAATGCATTTGGCCGTGTAATAGAGGATATTGTTGGTTGTGTATTGCATACTATCTGGGACGACGTAAATGATAATTGATTATCAATAATAACTGATGTACGAGATGACTGATTATCACTTGAAACAGATACTCTGGAAAATTGCTTTTTATTCATGACCTGCTTTGTATTCTACCAAAAAAATATTTTAAAAAGAAATACAAAGTAACATTTGACATTTTTAGCTCAATCCTACTACTTACATCACATGTTCTGTAGTCACTTATGATGTTGACCAACCATATAAACACCTTTACGCGATCAGTCCGAAGAAAAATGATAAATAATCATAATTTAATTGTTGAATTCATGAGTCAATTGAAGCTAGACCACCATGGAAAACCTGGAAGCACTGGACGGCCGTTTCGTAAATGCGCACTGCTGAGGAATCCCACAACATGACGAAATGGCCGTCCAGTGCTTCCAGGTTTTCCATGGTGGTCTAGCTTCAATTGACTCATGAATTCAACAATCAAATTACTATAATATCCACAAAACCTCTCTCTGATTAAAATAATCATAAATTTGATGATTAACTATCATTTTACGTAGAAAATAACTTTAATCCCTTATTCTGAATCGATCCTATAAGCGCTTTGATTTGTATTTAATTTGGTACAATTCAGTATTTAGTATTTATCCTAAATTTCATCGTTTTGTGTGTATCATCTTTACGTAATCACTTGTGAAATATTATTCCTTTAACTGCCTTTTCCTTACTGTGTCGTTTTAAATTATGTTAATTTAGCCCTCAAATGCCCTGGTATGGCCGAGAGTGGTGAGAGTCCGCTCTCCCTCTTGAAATGTTCTCACACGGCCACGCGTATACAGCCTCTGCCAGGGAAGTCCTACTCACTGCCTTCTCGTGGCGGGGGTGTTGTTTACGAAAATGAGAGGACGAAAAGCGAATGTCTGGCGCTTTAACCGGATCCCAAACCAATGGTACACATGGGCTCCAGTATCGTGCGGGAACAAATGGCGTATGAACCAATCGTTGGTCACCGGCTACCAAGAGACTGCATCTCCTCACGATGCTCCACTGCCTTGTGGGTCAGACCTTCAGGTCGAAGGCTCGGGGAGTGGCCCCCTAAGAAAACCACCTGCTTCGGTTTGGGCACCCGGGCAGTATCACAGCCCTCACACATATCGAATGAGATTTGTGTGGCGCATATATATTTGGTGCCTCCTTGTACCAATATCTATGTGTTAAAATAAATAAATAAATAATAAGACTAATGTATCACTAAACCGAATTATAAAACGTTAAAATGAATCAACATTCGGAACTTTTAAAGAGGATTTTATCTAATAACTTGATTAATAACCTTAATGTTTTCTCATCATATCGGAAATATACTGAAAAAGACAGGCATGTTAAAGACTAACACTTTCAAGTTAATAAGTAGGTAGTCAATACCGATGGCCAAATATTGTACTATATGCGTTGAAGGCATTGTTGTTCTTCCAATCAATTATTGGGTTATCATACAACTATTGATAACTCTGAACAGGAATTAAAATAATTAACAGTTGACAGAATCATATATCAAGCTTCAATTTCTAGCATTTTCGTCTTAGGGTTGGGAAATACTACTCGGGTGAATAAATCGAAACAGATGAAACAGAGGGAGGTTCAAGACTGTACAAATTAAAAGTGGACTTACTAGACTTACTAAAAATATTATGTGCTCAAATTCGTCTTTTGTAAGTATTAAGTCTATGGATAAAAGAATCGATTGCTACGCCTCTCTTTATAACGAAACCTAAATGAATCAGTTGGTGGAATAAAAACGTCAGGAATTATTCTTCACAGCTTAAGTGATCATAAAAAACAGTGTGGCTACTGTTGCCAATATGGGCTGTCATTTAATATATGAAAAATATGAATTAGCTGGCTGTTACATGTTATTGAAAAATAATATCACAGAAAATGAAAGCAAATATATTTGAAAGTAAGCTTACAGAGTGTGATGTAATCATTCTTTTCAGAGATGTACGTGATGGGGATATGGAGGACACAGTGTTTCTACCCCTGATAGGACCTAATTTATGTGATATTGATTTCGATCCAGAATTAGTTTGACGACGACATCGTGCCATGGTAAAAAGGACTGAGCTAGGCAAATCAATGTTAGCAGATGCAATACATGCACGTCCTGATCGTTTAGCTTGATTTGCAGAAGACTTAAACATTGAGAACGAATAAAAATTTGGTTAAAAAATATGCTGACAATGTAGAGGAAAGAAAGAAACTACATAACCAAAACGAAATAACTAACATTTTACTTCCATTTGCCAGTATTACTATGTATTAGTGTTTGTTGATTTACTTGTCTACAACACACTTTGTTATTGACAGGCAGTAACAAGCATTTATCAACAACTAAGATACAATTGTGTAGACATTACTATATTTTTGGATCGGAAATGTAACTAGTAGCCGGATGACATTAACCGCAACCAGTAACAACGAAATACATTCTTCTGCGAGTCATATGCTATCAAATTTAATGAACAGATTCACACAACACACAATCGCAACATTTTGACGGCCAAACCGGTGGATCAGAGTCTGAACAGTGATTGTATGAATCAGACGTTTGGTTAATTATATCAGTGCGGGTATTCAAGGTGATCCAAAATCTTAGAATTATTTGGAACGTGTGTATGCTGTGTTTAGAACTGTAGTTAGGTATCCTCCCCATCCAAGCAACCAATAATGCATTCTAGTAGACTAGTTAACCATAACGCTCCTTTTGTTTTACGCTGATAACTTAATGTAGGTAACTCAATAGATGAAGCAAACACGTAGCTGCCAACCGAATAAGTACTAACCAAAGAATTAAAAGCTATATAAGCAGCATCCATAGAAGGTTGACATATAATTCGTTCAACAGGACCAAAACTTTGGAAGTGCTTCAGTAGAAAACTCTTTGTGTTGAATTCGATCGGCAAACGGGATAATTTAACTGCAGGCCAATACAAGTTAGCGGCATTCTGGATATTATTTGAATCTAAGCACCTTTTTTCATTGTTAGAAGATCCAGGAAGGTCGAAGTCTGACAAATGGAAGGATTGTAATGAAGAATACATAAAAAATAAGAAACTCGATTGCAATAGGAAAAAGGTTAACAAACAATATCAATTAATCAACGGCACAGTATAGCGATGGACCTAACATAGTAATGTTAAGTGAAATGTACCATCTAGTCGAATTTAAACCGCAATATAGTGAACAAGAATTTAATTATTTGTACGTGAATAACTCAGAAACTAAATACAGGTTCTTATCCAAAAGTTTGAGGATCTCTTTTACAAAGACTGAAGATAATTAACCATCCGCACCAAGCTTTAAAAAGTAAGCTGATAGTTCAGAGTCTATTAGTTAGTGCGATGATATACGAGGCCGACCCGTGGACGGGGTTGAGCAAGCTCAAGGCACCCGTCCAGAGGTGAAAAATACGGGTAACTTCATTGATCTCAGTTTAGAGACCGTTGCAAAAATTACACTGCAAAGAACAGATACTACATGTGATCTAAGTTCAGAAAGACGAAGAGCGATCTTACTCCCACTATTAATTAATTAATATAAAACACACCAAACCTAACAGACGAAACAGATTTTGCCAAGTGCAGAACCAAACTAGACCTAAAACATAGGAAACTCCTACTGTACCCAAGAAGTTTAATGAAATCATGAACATGGTAGTACCAACATACGAAAGCCCTGATCAAAATTAAAGCGAAACGCTTGTCGTTTAGTGATTTGAAGTATATTCTGCTAACCCCCTTTTGTAGAAGACATTCCTAAAATGAACAATGTAGTGGAGGAATGGCATAAAGGTTTTAGTCAACTTATTGACGCCGCTCATTCAAGTATATGGAAATTTTATTATCAGAATGGGTTTTGTGGAGATTTTTAGGAATTTCACAAGTTGAAATCATGAGTCAATTGAAGCTAGACCACCATGGAAAACCTGGAAGCACTGGACCGCCGTTTCGTAAATGCGCACTGCTGAGGAATCCCACAACATGACGAAATGGCCGTCCAGTGCTTCCAGGTTTTCCATGGTGGTCTAGCTTCAATTGACTCGTGATTTCAACTTGTGATATATGGAAATTTATTGATTTTTTGAAAGAAGAGAAGAGACTAAATAGAATAAAAATAGAACAGTCTGTCTCAGGAGCCCATCAACAACACTTGAAAACAAAATATAAGGAAGTAGCAGTACATATCGAATTGATTGTAGATTACAAAAACAGGTCGACACTAGACTATCTACGTGGAATAGCATATGACCAAAGTAATTAGAATAACGATTTGTTGCCAAATTCGACGAGTTATATAGTTTGTTGAAAGTAGACTCTTTATTAGACGCTTAAGAGACCACTTTTTTTATTGGTCGTAGGCCTGAGGAGCAAAGGGAAAATTGAACAGATTTCACACTATTAAAAATGTTATTCCCTCTTTCAATGCACACTTTTATTGATATTCGCCTTTTGATGGTTGGCTTTATTAATGTGTATTCATTTCCACTCGCCCTTTTGAATGGACACCATTTTATATTCACGCTGAAATTTTGTGACGAGTTCATCAGAAAAAGATCATCCATCGATGTGCTTGAAATAATTTAAGCAATCAACCACTTTATCATCAGATTAAATAGTTTAAGTAATTTCACACAGACGAATTTACTTTCGAAAGTCAAGTACTATATGACAAACTGCAATCATGTACAAGTTGCTGGCATAAGTTTTCTGACCTAGGTCATAAAAAGAGATTGAAAGGCAATCCTTCTCCAGGACCCAATAAATCCTATACACTTCTGTACTGTTATTTATTTACCAGTCAGTCAAAAGCAAAGTAAAACCCAAGATACATGCATTGGGATTTTGTGAGGGGTAGTAGTACTAACCGAGTGACTAGATGGAAGTAGGTGAAGCGGGGTTCAAATTTGCAGCCTACTGACTGACCGTTGAGTATGTTAACCACTAAGCACATTTGATATCCCTACCTCAACTTTTAGCAGTAATTGATCTTCAAACAGAATGAATATACATATTGCTCGAAGTTACTACAACGCATTAGTACAATAAGATTAAATTATAAGAATAAAGACTGGAGTAGTATCGGTGGCAGTAGTAAACATTCGAACACACTGGATATGTATCAACAAACTACTCAATCGAAACTACAAACTAAACAAGAGAAGTGTGGTAGATGACGAAAAACAAGGATGAACTTACAGCTATTGTGCGCATTGCCATTGATACTGGTGTCAGTTACACAACGATCATTTCGATCTTTTTCAAAACCATCACCACTTCGAGGAGAATGGAAAACTGTTTTTGAGACATTGCTATTTTTCCCTATTGTATGGGCTGATGAGGAACTAGGCCCTGATTCTTTAATGTTGGCCCTGAATTCCGTGGTTTTTAAGTTGCCGAAAAGTCCTGGGGCTGGAATATTACTGTTTGTAGTAAGTGGAACTTGGAACAAGTTTACACAAGAATCGTTGGATATTCCAGCAAACAAACCAGTGGGTTTTTTGGAACTCGATGAGGCGAACATAGGATTTTATCACGAGCAAGTTGCCGGCAGACTGAGGGGCTTGCTGAAACAAAATGGAAAAAATCCTCAGTCTAACAGACAAGATACAAAAATATTGACTGATTCCAGTAAAAAGAAATCAACAAATAGCGTACTTATTGTCAAGAATGTTCGCCTGAATGCCTGTCCAACTTTACAAAGTGTAACATCAAAGCACTTGTAACAGTAGTGTCTACTTGTTGGGTGCACTATATTTTCTTTTATCCTTTTGGACCAGAAGTTTATTTTTTGATTTTAGTTTATTATAGTTTTAATCCATTCAGTAAACAAATTTCGGGGCAGTGGGCATCAATAGGATGCACTATACGAATAAAAGGATAATGAAGATTTGAGCATGATAACATGAATTCATCTTATTCAATTTGGCTCTCGTCAGCTGCTTACAACCTGTAATATTTAAACTCGTAATTCCAAAATGGGTTTCAAATACATGAAAGAGTTTAGTTGGAAGTAAAGGGAATCTGAGTTTTTATCAGGGTACTGTTTTGCTGAAAAGTCCATCATCTGTATTCAACGTAGTCTGTCACAAATCTATATCAGCTCAAGCTGCCATATCACATTAGCATAGCAGGATGAATAGCGATATGGATCGAAATAATTTACTACAAATGGCAATCAGAAAGACTAGGTACTGAGAATGGAGTTCGAGAAGAGAGAATGAAAAAGGTTTAGAGAAATGTAAAGCAAATGCATATGCGCGATTGTGAACGATTCTGAGCCATGTCATTTAATAGCACAGATCTCAATCAGGTAGTCTGCATCTACCACCATGGCTCAGATCAAGAGTCAATGACTCCATGGACTGATACTAGGTTTCGGGTTGACCCCTTTATATTTTTATCAGCCTACTATAAAACCTAACACTCCCCATCGAGGTAGGCGATAGTTAAGCACATGTACGTATACCGACCACCTTAGTCGACAAGGCTTCATAACCTCCCAAACCGATTTGCCACCTTTACCTATCACACTGTACCTAAACTCTATATTTCACAGCACGCAAGCACTGCTTCGAAGACATCTATGGTCAAAGACCAGCTGAATCGTGTCTTCTACTTTCATAGATCATAATTTACAGCCATAAAGAAATAAAGAACGGAATGTTGGTCCGTGTGTTTATAAATTGGTCAGGAATAACATATGTACAGACTACGAGATATTAAAACTCCCACTACTTCCTGATACCTCTGTAAGAGGGTAGTGATTCAAGTAAATATCAGCTGTACTAAGTCAATCGTTGCAAAGCCTTTTCCGACAGCCTTTCATTGATGAAAATGACCCAAATGTAAGAATGAAAAATAAAATGCTGATAGCCAAGTCGTGTTACTCAAAAAAAGTGGTGATCGACGACGAATGCGCCACAAACCATCTGTTGGAAGAAGTGAAGTATATGGACACACCAACTAGGTTTCAGAGTGAAGTTCATTATTTCATTAGAGTTGACGTCATTTCATGATGGAAACCCTAATAATTTATGCACAAACGATTGTTATTCGTATTAGAACTGTTTATTAATTATAAGTATAAATTTTTCCTCATAAATGTTTTCATAACTCAAGTGTTAGTAACTAAAATCCAATGTCTTCGTAAGGAGCTTGTATAAACCAGTCGATTTTTTTGCGCTCGCTTCTTGTTATTTCGGTACGGTTCAAAGTGTTTAGTTATGTCCAATGGGTGGTAGTTTAGCCAGTCGATCACAATGATTCTAGTCAGTTTGGTAGTTACTTATGGACTTGTATATTTGGTTATTTGAGTAAGTGCGTTTGTCTTAGAGCAGTAGGGTGTCTAGGTACCAGTAACTATCACATTAACAGGCAGGAGGTTGGTTAGTTGCAATGTGAAAAATAAAAAGGTGAATAAATAATAATTCACTGAATTGATAATGTGTAAGGACATGGAATCCAAATTATGAGATGATGACAAGAGAGATAAGAAGTATTTACTGATTATGCAGTAGTGATAACCGTGGTCCAAGAGGGAGATGGTAACCCATGGGTGGGTACGTGTTTGTCAAGTATCTTCTAAAATTTATCCACTGAAGTGGCTGTGGTCACTTCGGCTAGGGGAGCATTCTAACTGAGGGCAACTGTCAACGAAAAAAGTGGGAGCATACCTGATGTGCAATCTTCCAAAGGTTGCCTCGAAGAGTGTGATCTTCTGGTAGTATGCTCGGGTTGGAGAGATTTGGCGCACTTAATATATTGTGTATCATCAGATCACCTCTTATTTTCCTATAGCTTAGAGGTAACAACTCTGAGTATTAGACTTTGTCTTTGTAAGATTTATATCTTAATCTTATCACCCACTTGATTGCGCGTCTCTGTACTCGGTCCAAGAGATTTGTCTCTTTTAAAATGAGAGCAACAACAATGGGGACCCTAGACTGGCGCCGTGGGTACGCTTTAAAGAGAGTTAGGGACAATTATGGGGGTTGCGTTTGCCTTAGCTGCATCCCATATGTATATTGAGATGATGTCTGTTCTGTGAGTTCAACCCCAAGACGCATTTTGAAGAGATAACAGGGAGCGGATTCCCATGCACGATGTAATTGCTTTGTGTTAAGTGAAGCAGGATGTTTATGACATGACATTTCGACAAGTTAACTATCAACCTGCTGTATACACCCTTTCCCCTATTGCTGTAAGGTCCTTTTGAAACCATAGTGAATCCTTTTCGCTTTCTACGGACCTCCAGATCTTTGCATCGTTTGTTTGTATCAGTGCCAACGAGCTAATTTTATCCAACAAGTCATTAATAAATATCAGGAACAGGAGTGGACTTAAAGTTGTCTCTTGTGAAGCTCCTGATGGTAAGACTCTTCAGCTAGCATCCACTAACTAAGGTACAGATCACGGCCGGCCGTATACTTTTCGTTTTTCCTTTTGTTGTGCACAGCTAACAGTGAATTGATGTGATTAAAATTACGAATTTATATCTCAGTGCTACTTTTTAGTGAGCAGAATTACTGAAAAGTGCACTGACTTTTTCCGAAAATGCTGACCATCACTGTTAAGCCTAGACCTAAGGCTTCCTATGCGTTACTAAGGTGTAACTTACACATCTTTGGAGGTTTGTGTCCAGGTAACTGATGTACGTTACATCAGAATCTGGACTAGAAAACTAGGAGGGAAAGTGACCAAACAACTCAGTAAGCAGAGATAATGCACTTACATATAATAATGAAATTATTCGACAACAGTCAAAACTAGAACGGGCCCGAGACTAAGATTCGGCAATGGTAGCGGCGGTTTGAATATGTAACAAAGGACGAAACCTTCGTGACCTTCCAATAGTCAATATATTTATGACAAGCTAGTGTAAACTAAATGATTTCTTTGGATTCGCGTCCTAGTGTTATTGGACAGTTTAGGTTTTTGGGTGGCTTTCTATTCAATACTGTTTATATTCAACTGCATTAGCCCAAGCCAATTTGTCCTAAAACAAAGAATAATGAAGTGAAAATCGTTCTCAGTAATCAGTCATCAGGATATATGGTTATAATTCCTCACTTATTATGTCCCCAAACTGATTTCCTGGCTCGCCTTTGGATACACTCCAGCTTGTCCTCTAATTTTTGGAGTGAGGGAGGAAACACTATGTTTCCATACTCTGAATGGGGTCGAATAAAACTGTTGGGGATAAGGTGGAAAATCCTTCCATCAAACTGACCAAAGATTCGCTTCAACGTTATCAGTGTACGGCCTGCTCGGAAGACATTCATGTCGCAGCTGGTGCGAGACTTGCGACAATATGGTATCAAAACTCAGATCATTTTCAGCTTGGGATGCAACATGTCTCAGACGGACTACTTCACCCTTTGAAGTGTTGAAGGTAAGTTCGTCGTTGTTTGCCAAGCTTTGAGTCTGAATCAGACCCTCCTCAAATTCCATATTATCCTCTTGGTCGTAAATTTCTCTCCAAAGCTTCATATCATTAGCGAAAAGTAATAAATCTGGCGATACTTGCTGTAAAAGACCTTTATATAAATTAAGAAAATAAGAGGTCCTAGTACTGAGCCTTGGTGGATCCCATCCATGGCCCGGGAAAAAGTGGAGTTTACGCTGACCTTCAAAAGTCGGTTACTTAGATATGAAGTAAGCCGATTAGTTAGTGATGATTTGGTGCCTAATCGTTTGAGTTTATTAATAAGGCATGTACGGTTGACCCTATTGAAAGCTTTCGAGGAGTCAAGGTATATGACGTCTACCTTCCCTTTGCGATTAAGGATGGTCGTCCATCTGTTCACCGCGGCCAGCAGATTGGTTATACAGAAGTGATCTTTTCTGAAATCATGCTGTTGGGTTGAAAAGGAGTTTAGCTTCAATGTGTTTAGAAATATAAATTATGGATTAGGTAGGTCATTTAAAAAAAGGTAGAAAAATTCATTGTAATGTGTTCAATTATAGATCTAGATGTCCTTTCTCTTCTTCATCTACTTGTCCATAGAGTCCGTAGTTAAACATGAGGCAAACATTTATCGGGCGTCTGAGAAGAAGCTTCTTCACTTTATCTATTGAAAGTGTGGTGGACCAGAGGATATATAAACACAAAAAGTATCAACACAGTTAATAAAAAGCAATAGTAATATTAATATATATCAGTTAAATGTCACAAATACAATAAAAATGGGACTTTACTTAAGTTCACCCAAAATGATGCGTGTTCGGCTTTAATCTGGTACAATAAATCCACAATTATAGATGCTTGGTAATTCCAAACGTATCGATGAACTCCCCAGTGGTGTAATCCAAAGTAAGATATGGTGTATTCGCTCTCACAGTCTATGAATGTAAATAATATTTGTTTTATATCTCGTTAACTCAATCTCGAATGAAAACAGAACGAGGAAGTTGAGAGAAGCAGTGTATTTGTTAACCAGCAACGATATGTCACGCTATGTAGTAGCACAACGGAAAAAGTGTTCAAGGTTATTTTCTTAAACAACAGGTACAATCATTTAATGATAAATGTACATGCAGTGAGAAATTGACAAAATAAATACAAATAATACTAAAAACTATTTACAAAATAAGCTTGTCAGTCATATCTCCACAATATCTCTAACTTCGCTTTTCTGAAATTTGTCTAGTGGTTTCTTTTGATATATTATTTGCAAAGAAATATGTTATGTTTGGAGATAATATAATTTTACTTATAATATCCGTATTTTTACTTCATCCACAAAATAAAATAAATCTCTATCACCTTCAACATGTTTCAGTATATTGGTTTCAGTAATTTTACTGACCATACTACTGCTAATAGCAATATATTTCTGCCAGGGAATGTACACTCCATTTATGCAGGCACAATCTACGAATTACAGCTTGTTTACAGTATGCTTTTCAAGTACGGTCGTTAATTAGCTGAAATCAATATAAGTAAATAAAGTACATTCGTGCAGATTTCTTGGAGCTTTTGCCAGTCAGTTTATGCATTAGTACTACACTGAGTACAATCTTTAAAATATTTTCCGAAGCAGCATTGCGCCCACAGTGCACACAAGAGCCAGGCTCGGCATAGCTGTGTTGGAATCATGGTCGTGCCAAGAATTTATGCAATACAACTTTTTAAGTTTATAGATGCTATAAAGTAGATTTGTAGAGCGCCAGATGAGATCTGTGACCTTGAGAAAACGCTTATGTAAAGTTTGTTCCAGGCGTCAGAAGCTCCATAACTGTGCCCTCAGAGAAAGATTTCGAAAAAAGAGAAACAAATGGGCAGAAAGGCACTTTGATATGAACGATAAACAGTGTTTAGCATTTTGTAGTGGAACAAATTGAGGTATGACAAATTAGTAGATTAAACTCATACTAGCTTTTGTTGCCAAAGTGAATTGTGGTTGGAGCCTTCAGATGAGAGAATAAAATAATAAAGAACACTGAGTTATGATGAAGGTGAAGTAGGTTCAAACGATGAAAGGGGTTTCGACGCCAGTATAAGGAAGGCTGTCTATTAGAATAGAAAGTGCATCAAGAGAGTAGAGTATTTAGCAAACTAATAACTATATCGTTTATTGTCTGACTTTTTTCATTTTTTTCCATTCGATGCCTGCCACACAGTCTTAATGCAAAAGGCCGAGTTAGCATGTTATAGGTTGTCTCAGTAGAATAGCTAATCCAACATAAAATTGGAAATGTGAGTCTCAATGGTGAGCGTAGGAGAACAACCTCAATATCACAGATTGATTGACTTGTTCTCAATCATAAACAACCTGATACAAACAAAATGTTCCACCTCATAAACACGGGTGAATTGAATTCATCGCCCTCACCATGAATACTTGCTGGTCAGTAACCTTCAGCACTCTCGATAGACTTTGTAGAATTTAGATCGGATATATGGTTCATCTGCCTGAGCGTTAGATAACAAATCTGCATATCATGAAACAGACGTCTTAAATTATCTGCCTCAGTTTTCTCAATACCATGGATGATCAAAATCTTGTCAATAAATGTATAAGCTAAGATAAGCTTCTGGACGAACGCCTCCTCGGGAAGCTCTGATGCCTTACGGTAGCCCCCTCCTGGTTTGAGCAAGGCACATAGAACAATAGTAGCCTTAGCTTCATCATATTCTCTTCCCCTTTGATGCAATCTTTCCAGCCCAATTTCTCCGTCTGAGTTGGGTGTACCTTAGCTAATTCCAACTCTAACAAGTAGACTCATTCGGTGGCCGCTTCCTCTAAACTGGTTATCACTGTAAATTTCTGGATAGTGGGGAGACAATTCAGGAATTCGATCACTTTTACGATCCTTTGTAGACCTTTGACAACATTCGGTGTATGAATTTCTGATGAATTACTGTTTGAAACTTCGTAGAATTTAATTTGTCCTATATGTATTCTACCTGAACTGTAAATGTGATACTGAAGATCCGTTGTCTTTGTGAAAGCTGTGGCCAAGACAAGAACAAGTTGGCTATAAAACGTACCTGTTTATACCAACCAGTATTGCGTGTCTTATCGAAATAAATAATGATAAATATATAGGTTGCGGTCACATTAATATAATTGAATAATCATGTCCTTCAATTGGAGGGTCACATGTAACAGGGATAGTCTACAGACACATCAGACCAGATTGACGTGGTGGCTGTTAAAGTAGCGATTTGACTGGTTAGTTATGGACATAACTTACATGAACAGTAGTTGATCTATCCAGAATGAATGAAATAATATTCTCTCATTAACAGGAAGGTTTTTAGGAACTGGTAATTATCTTATGAATCTTTTCAGCTTGCCTGTTTTGTATTATTTAGACTTGATTGTTCCAGCTTATTAAACAAGTATTGGTCGAACGACTGGGTGATAATATTTGTCTAGGCAGTAATGTAAATTCCTTGCCCAGTCATGTATTTTGTGCTATATACGAACGAAGAACAAGCGAGTGGTAACTGCTAAGAATTATTTATGGACTTTTATTACCCATATACTCATTAGGTAATTATAAGTATATATATATATATATATATATATATATATATATATATATATATATATATATATATATATATATTCAAAATCCCTTTATCATGAGCAGTTATTTGACCTATTGGCTACTATTATGCGGTATACTGTTCTTGTTTTCGGTCAATCTTTTAGTCGGCTATACTCAGAGCCACTTTTGATCTGATTTTGTTTAATTATTATTTTTCACTTTATGGTGTGATGAGGTCTGATCTATTGCACATAAATTACTTGAGTCTGAAATATACGATTCATACAGCGGATGCTGATATTTGTGTTTTGAACAGAGCGGCTTAGGCTAGGCGAAAGGCTAATATACTGGGGACCGATAAGAGACCGGAGTTGGCATAAGGCCTTTAGTGTTGGTTGACGTATCACTGTTTTAGCACAGCGACAAAGCCATAGAAGCCAGCGTTATGATTAGCAATGTTTGTCGTGTGAAATGATGCCCTAGTTGAGCGAACCACAACTCAAAGTCACTAAGATCGGATTTCTGGAGTTAGGCTTTCATAGTCATGACAGTGTTTCACTCTACAGATAACAAATGTAACTTATCTTCCCGATTTTCATTCTGCATTGAATCTGATATGTGGCATGTAACAAATATTTTATTTATTCTCCGATACAACACAGCATGCACCAACCCAATCATAATTGATGGAGAAGATTTGGAAGATGTAAAAACCTTTACATATTTGGGCAGCATCATTGATGAACACAGTGGATCTGATGCAGATGTGAAGGCGCGGATCGGAAAAGCTAGAGCAGCGTATTTACAATTGAAGAACAT